AATATTTTCAAGCGGGTGGAGGTGGGGGATCGAAAGAGGGTGGTCACTTGAACAAAACCCGATAACCTAACCTAACCTAACCTACCCTATTGATAAAGATATTTAAATAATGTTTTATATAACTTTCTCAATATTTTTATGTATTTTTCATTAGTTTTACCTTTGAATATTGTTTAAGAATGACTATATAAATACTTACATGCCTAGAAATGTATAAAAATTGACATTAACTTTCAACCCCCATAGCTTTTTACAGTGGAGGGGGAGACCCCCTTTTTCGATCCCCCCCGGAAGGGTTGGGGGCCATCATCTAGACCTTTACCAATCTCCTTCCTTGTTCTTTTAATAAAAATATTTTTGTCAATATACCATCTATCTTCTTTCAGTTGATGTTATAATCATACGTAGAATATATTGAAAAATACCGTAAATATTGTCACTAAATATTAATTGAAATAATTTACTCAGGGATTTTGAGGGTCGCTGAGTTTTGGGCATTCTAAAATAATAGAATAAATTGAAGAATGATAACCGCCAGATTAATGTCCTTGTGAATGTCTAGATGATGGCCCCCACCCCCGAAGGGGGTGGGAGTGGGTGCGATCAAAAGAGGAGGTCTCCCCCACCACTGACCATAAAAAGTTCTTGGCGGTCTCACCCCTGGGGGTTAAATGGGGGTGAGGGTAGGGGGATCGAAAGTGGGTAGGGGGGATCGAAAGAGGGTGGTGACCTGAGTAAAACCCCATAAAAAATTTGCGGCGGTCTCACCCTCATAAAAAATTATGGGAGTTGAAAGTTGATTATTTTGACAATTTTCATACACTATAATTCGAATAAAATTCAATAAAACAATTATTTTTAAGCGGGTGGAGGTGGGGGATCGAAAGAGGGTCGTCACTTGAGCAAAACCCGATAACATAACCTAACCTAACCTATTGATAAAGATATTTAAATAATGTTTTATATAACTTTCTCAATAATTTTATGTATTTTGTATTAGTTTTACCTTTGAATATTGTTTAAGAATGACTATATAAATATTTACATGCCTAGAAAAGTATAAAAATTGGCATATTTATTAACTTTGAACCCCCATAACTTTTTATGGGGGTGAGACCGCCACGAACTTTTTATGGTACAGTGGTGGGG